CGAAGCACAAAGTGAAGTTGAAAAACAAGAGAAATAATTTATGAAGGCCGATATACATGTCATAACTAGCACATCGATAGACAAAACTGTCTAGTTGATGAAAATCATGCTTCATTGGTTTACGTAAACATACCTGTGTTGGTAACAACCAAGTGATGCTGTCATTAATAAATAGAGAGACGAAATTAATTACGACCACACGAAACAAAATGTGTGCACTCCGATATCAACTAGCACATAAGTAATATTTAGTTAGGGTATGGGTGTGGGTGTGGGTATAGGTGGGTGTGAGCGTCGATCTATTATTCATCGAAAATACGGACACCCACACCCAGAAAAGAAAAGGATATAAACTAACAAAGTTTAAAGCTGCTTTGCTAGTACAATAATTGAATTTTCATTCACTCTTTGAATTTCTCCTATTGATCAAACTTGCATTTTTTACCAATGCTTATATATATATATATATATATATATAAAAACTGAATATTTCATTCATTTTATTGACCATCATCAATTGATTTAGAAATGAAAATTTTCCCTCTCATATCATTTCGAGTTTGAAAATAACGACAACATCGATAAGATGCGCAATTTATTCCACCTCATTCTATTCATTTCGTCTCTTCAGTTAATTTTTCTTTCAGTCATACATACACATAACTTTGTTCATCTGCATAAAATAATTTCGATAACATAGTCACTATCAGAGACTATCAGGTGGGGCCGGGTCTGCAAATTTAAGACTCGATGGACTCTAATCAGTTTTGTCTTATATTCATGTTCGTGTTAATCAATCGTAGAAATGAGAACAGAACATAAGAAATTTTACAAGTAACATTCTCGTGCCTGAATGCAAAGCTCTTTGCCAGTTTCTCTCTTTCTGCTAGAATTGAATTCGATTTGTTCTAGATATGAGATCAATTCATATTTTTTGGAAACTGAGGGTGTGGGTGTGAGTGTGGGGTGTGGGTGTGTGGCTGTGCCTTAAGAGAAGAGTGATACTCATACCCACACCCACACCCTCACATTTTCATTTTTTCTCTAGTTTTAGAAAAGAAAGAAAAGTTTAAATCTTTCATATAATTACTTAGATAATGGTGGTCTTAAAATTATCTACTGGCAACAAGATGGAAAATTTGTTCTAGTAATAGAAATTCAAATGGCTTGAGATTCATTTTCTTTTCTCATTCTTGCGGGTTTATGTCAACCTATTTTTCTCCCTGTTCAACTATATTCACGTTTTTTTTATGACAGTAAGCAATGTTTAAACGTAGTTAATGTAATAGGAAAATGCATTTTTTATGAATAATATACGACCAACTATCACTCAAGTCAAGTAGATATGATTTGAAATCTATAATATGGACTGTGATGTAGACAAAACGTAGGATAAAAGAAAATGAAAAACAGTTTGAAAGGAAAGAAAAGCAAAAGAGCGGGAGATAATCAAGAAAAGAAGAATTTAAAAAAAGGTCAACTACTAATTAGATTAAAAAAATATATCAAAGCTTTTGTCACAGAGCTTTTCTTTTATTGCATTTTTTTTTTCAAAGGAGAAATTGACAAGTTAAAATGCTACCCATAATCATAGCCTTGGCATTTCTTCTTCATTTCATTGATCGTACTTAAGCAATAGAGGAGAACCATATTAATCTTAGTGAATAAAACAATTTTTCTTGTTCGTATCATTTCTCATATATCATAAAGTAGAACCATTTGAGAAAGGCAATGCTTTTTCTAGGAGATAATTCAAGATTTTGATTGTACATATCAACTTTATCTAATGTACTGATTCAATGTTGCTGTCTAAAAACAACTTTTGCACAGTGAAAATATGTATTAAGTTTCAAGTGATCTTATGATTTACAAGAGTTTCTGATAAAGAATATAGTTTCGTGGGTTTATAACTCTATACAAACACTATCTAAAAGCACTAGCTTTCAACACTTATTTGCTTTTAGCATTATTTGAATATTTTAATAAATCTTAGTATTTTTGTTGAACTGAAATAATATGCTGATTCTTTCATAGTAATCATTGAAATGTTTTCAAATTTCTACTTGAATATTGTTAAGGTTCTGGTAAATAGATTTGATAGAATGTCTTGTACTCGATTCTGTAATTATGACATCTTCATCTATTTAAAAGAAAAAATTTGTTAGCACAACCACTTTGAGGCTGAAGTGTGGAACTTGCATATTTTCTTCGAAAGTATATGTGAGACACACAAAATAGATAGCATACTATTAAAGTTATAGATGAATAATTCTTGTTATATTTAGCATACTTCTATGAAATTGTTTTCAAAATAGCTTATCATTACTGAATATAAAGAATCTAGATCGAAAAATCGATTCATCAATTAAAAGCTTTATCAATTATGAATATTATATTTTAGATAGATTATCTGAAATGAAAATTGAATATAGTTTTAATAACGTTACGTAGAGAAACAAATTTGAAACGAAAGAGTTTGAATATTATATGAAATACGAGAACAATTTTGAAATAGGAGTTAATACTTTATATTTTAGTTCTATCAAAAGGCAAGAGAGAAAATTATTCTAATTATTAATTATAATGAATTTAGATAAGACTATTGAGCAGTGAAAAAGCAAAATATAAGTCATTCCAATCATGATGTTAGTTTATTAATTCATGAGCAAATTTGTTTTTAATTGTTCAATGAATCAAATATGTAATCTAGAAACTATATGTGTGTAGAAGTGTTTATCTACTCCACTAGCAGTTATATCGGCATTGCAAGGGTGTATGGCTGAGAGTGTGACTGTAGGTTTGAGTTCAACTAACAAGATAATTCACACCCATACTCACATTCATATCATAATGTATCTTTTAATTTACAACTTTTGATGAGTTCAACTCAACGAAACCTATGTCAACGAAAATGGCATTTGAATTCAGAGGACTCCAAAATGTTTTCACTGCAGAAAAAGACTCTGAAGAACTTGTTAGAATTATAATTTTAATCTGTGTCAGTTGTAAAATCTAATTAATCAATTATGTTGTTATATGTTTATAATTTAACACAAAAAAAAATTGTTGGTGATCTCTTTATTGATTAAGGATAGTAAGATAGATATTTGAATTAAACAAAAAGATATTTTTAAAACCAACATATGTCTCGAATTCATTGAAAATAGTGTACACAACATTATTTGTAATCACATTCTATGAAATATTTGTGACAGAAAATTATGTTAAATTTTTGATTGTACGCACAAATATGTTGATTCAAAGAGATGAAACAATTATCTTTGAATGAATTTTCATTACTACCAACTCTACACGTTTTTCGATTGCATCAATACCGATAAGCTTTGATTCATTTCAAATAAACAAAATATATGACATTTCATAAGTGAAAGAGTTAATTACACTGATCAAATCATATTTATCATTTCTTGAGTCAATTTTAATAATTAACAATTTAGATTTTACTTTGTATCGTACTATTTCCGTCTAGTGCATCAGATGGCGCAATCATCATGTAATGTTTATCTTTTTTTCCGACATATCTATGCAACTACACAATTTATTTTATCATTCTATCGTCTGCACTTGGAAATTTCAAAATAAAATTAGTAATTGCATCATGTTACTTTTATTATTAATCATCTTGACTGGGTTTTATTGACGTTTCACGACAAAATAGACCAATAGAATTTTTCGATGAATCGGTGAAAATTTTTGAAAAAGTTGTAAAGTGTTATTTCAAAATGAAACAGTTCAGTTTATGGAGATATTTCTCTAGGAATGAGCTTACATTAATATCAGAAACTTGCAAGTTCAAGTACACCTGCACGCGAAAATAACAAAATTCTTTCTGATTATTGCCTCTAAATCTATGCATCATTGAGTTCAAATCGAGAAAACCGTTAGTTAGTTGAGTATGAGCCTAACCACGTATGTTTAGATTTCCAAATTAGAAGATTTAAAGCTTATCATAAGTTTCTAATGCTAAAAGGATACAAATCATCGATATTAGCCAGAAATTTCATTAAACATTTCTATACATCTCGATTTACTGAATTTTGTTCGCACAACAAACTTGAATTTGCAAAATACATTTTCGAAAATGACTAGAAGTTTTAAAATCTTATATGAATACAGATATCATCTCTTTTATACATTATTAAATAGATAAAGCAAAATGTCGATCGTAGCCGAATTTCCAACCGGTACTTTGAGTAATGCATCTAATAAATACAAATCAATGGACGATTCAGTGAAACCATTCTATAAGAAAAAAGAAGGCTCTCAAAATCTTGCCACTACTATTAATCGAATACAAACACTAATTAAATTAATAAAGGGACCAGGCGTTCATCCTGTCGGCTATATGTCTGCTGTCGGTTTTAAATATACAGGTGATGGAGACACAGCTCGTTGTAAAGATTGCGAACTTGAAGTATCCAACTGGACATTAGATATGAATCCATTTACTATTCATTCAAAAAGTCAACCTAATTGTCCATTCATACGTTCTATGATACCGATTTCATCATTAAATGTACTAGTGCCTAACATGTTACCAACAAATACTACTGGAAATGCATCTGTACCGGCTGTAGAAGAAAATATTTCTACTTTTCAAAAGATAAAAACGATGGACTTCGGATCAGTATCAAATGCTATAGTGGAAGTCGATTCACTTCGACAAGTGCGAATACGTACTTTTTCTCAT